AATATTTATGTGAACCTTACAAATACATATATATATATTTCCTCATGTATGCAATAAAGGGCACAAGAAGTCCTTACAACTATTTTCCTTTGCTAATCCTTGTTTGCCCTCATTTTGTATTCCAGGACTGTTCCTGCTCAGAACCAACACAGCTACACTTGTTCTCTCGCCGTATTTTTCATTATATTATTACATTTTAGGATTTCAGTTTTCTCATGTGAAGAAATGTGCACCTATAGCATGCAATCATTTCTCTACTTATGGTTGATTGGCACTGGGGAAATAATATTGCACATGTAAAGGTTTCATGTATATCTGTCAGCCTATAAAATGAAGCAAGAGTGCTGTATTTACCCCTAAGTAGGTTTTCAGGGTTTTTTTTTTCTAAATTTGATTTTAAACTGGATAAAATCGAAATCTGGTATTTCCCCAGCTTGTGGCTCTCTTGCTGTGTTTGAACTACAAGTTCCAGCAGCGTCCAGCAGCACTCAGCAGGTTGCTGACATCTGTATGGGAATGTTGCAGGCACAGATCGTGTAAGAGGACTGAAAGCTCTCCACTACTCCTCTGATACAAACTTCTGGGACTGAACAAGGGGCAGGCTGGGCTGACCTCCTGCGCATGCGCGCTGGCTGCTTAAAATAAGGAGGCGGCTGGCAGATAAAGTTCAGATGAGTTGTAGAAAGTCTGGTTGGAAGTCACAGAGCAGCAGCTCTTGGAGAATGACTTTGTGGGTCACTTGAGAGCTTGGATGTGCAGCAGCGAGCCCGGCAACCAACAGCAGCAGCAGCAGCAACAACTGGGGGAGCTGGGGCAGAGCATGACAGCTGGGTCCCCCCCGACCCTGGCTACTAAAGCGACTGCAGGACCCCCCATTTGTGATTTTCATCACTTCTAACCATCCAGCAAGCCCTGACATTAGGGAACTTCATACCTGATCCAGGTAAAGTCGCCTTTATTTCCGCACTTGACTCCTCTGCATGCACTTTACAACTTGTCTATTGCATTGCTGCGCTGGCTTGTATGTAGTGCCCATGTATTGATTTTTCTGCTGTTGAACTTTCTTGCATGCATTTCTATAACTTGAGGACTTTGCAGCATCCCTGACTCTTCAAAATTTGCACATAGCAGCGCTCCCCCCTCTTATACACGAATCTAAATGCAATGTAGCGATTTACTAAAGGAGCAGGGAATGCTCCCCGAGCTAATAAATAAGGGGAAGCTGTGCTTATATTGCCTACTTATCATCTGCAGGGAAAATGAAAGAAAAATCCGGGTTTGCTTGCACATAACTGGGTGTTTGAAGCGGACACATTCATCTTACTCACTCGGCTTGATGAACATTCACTTATCAAAAGAGAACATTCTTTAAATCAACTGCAAAAGCAGGATTTGTCGTGTTTTTGCATTGTATGTTGTATGTTGTAGGTTTTGTACATGTGTTACATTTCAGATGTATGCCTGAACTAGACATGGATGGTATAGTGGAAAAGGGAGAGTTTTGTGCTAACTGATGAGGTTCCAAAATGTAGCAAGCAGTACAGGAATGAATGCAGAGTCAGTTATTGTGACCAGGCTGAGGAACAAACACCTGTATATGTGTATTATCAATCATATATGTGCATGATAAAAAATGATTTTATATGATAAAAAATATTGTAAAAAACCTTCATACGTGGTGGAATTTAAGAGAAGCTACTACAAGCCCATGTATACAGGTGCATGGGTAATTCTGGGGAAAGTTACCACTGTACTGTGGATTCGTGTATAAGTAGGCAGATTGGCTGTGTATAATATCTCTCTCTCTCTCTCTCTCTCTCTCTCTCTCTCTCTCTCTCTCTCTCTCTCTTCTCTCTCTCTATCTCTATCTCTCTCTCTCTCCCTCTCTCTCTCTCTATATATATATAGAGAGAGATATAGATCTATCTATCTATCTATCTATCTATCTATCTATCTATCTATCTATCTATCTATAGATAT